GCTGTCACTTGAACGTAACCAAAATGGTTGGCCGTTGCTTTGTTGTGATGGTGGCTGTGGATTAGTGGCCATTTCGGCAAAACGATCCAAACGCGTTGATCAAGTGCACACAATGTAGAAGTGTTTTGTGTTAAGCATCACCAGTTGGGAAGGGGCGGTTTGTCCAAGAATGGCTAACGAGCTAACTAAAGCTGAGAGTTGGTCTCGTGGTACAAACTGTGTGGACTCGCACTTGTTCCTTTTGGGTTTTTTTGTGACTTGTTCGTTGGATGCTCGGTAGCTACATTGAACGTGTTTTCGTGGTTTGTTTTAGCGGCGGGGTGGTTAACTTGTAAGGATATTAAATTAGAAGCGTGACGTTCGCTAACAGGCTAATGTTAGCAGGATAGCTAGATATATCTTAATTCAACAATTTGGCTATTTTTCTCTCATCGTCTGATTGCAAGGCTTTGCTTTTGTGGCTTAAAGTTCACCGCGTGGTGTTTAACGTCGTCTCACTTTCGGTTCAAGTGTGATCCGAGGGTTGCGTTAAGAGTGAGTTGATTTATCTCCGGCATGATAGTGTCAGCAAATCCGGAGCACCATTGGGCCTGCCTGCAGTGCCTTGCTTGGCAGCTAGCAAGCTGCCACCCATGCCTTCGGCCCCGGTCCATGTTTCGAGCTGTCTGTGTTGTACGTTAGTCTTTTGTGTACACATCTTTGTTCTGTAAAGCCGTAACAAATGTGTCCGGTTATATAGTGTAGTCGATCTAATCGGGATGCCTATATTGTCATTCGCTAAATGACTAGCGTTGCCGAACAGCATGGCTTGAGAGCTGGACTGCGTGCTGCTTGGGTTTGAACTGTCGGCACGTTCCAGTTTGACCTCCATCTCACAGTTCAGCTCACTATACTATCATCCAGTAGCAAACACAGACAACTTTGAGATCCTCTTCAAAGTAACTAACTTATTTGGCCAAAATAGAGTTGTGATATAAAACAAAACGGTCAACACTAACGTGGACTTCACTTTGAATAGTATTGGTTATTTTCTCTCAATTGGAGTAAATTTTTGTTTTGTCTTGACTCGGAAGCTCTGAGTTACTAATTGTAGTTGTTGTCATCGTAATAGCTATTACTTGCTTTTGACAGAGGTGGCAAAAGTACTCACACTCTACACTGAAGTAGGACAGATACTGTTGTAAAGAAAACAAAACCCCAAAAAGATTGGTAAAAGTAGACTTTGATGTAACTGCCGCCGCATGAGCAATCCTCTTTAGCCCGGAGCCCATGACGTCAATGATTTCCAAAAACAATTTGATATGGACTCGTCAGACCACACACACTTTGCCACTTTGTGTAAGTCTCACTTTGATGAGCTCGATGCCATAGAAGCCCGCGGGGTTTCTGGTTGATGTTGATTTATGTCTTTCGATTTGCATGGTAGCGTTCTAACTTTTATTTGTAGATGTAGCGACAAACTGTGTTCAACGTCAATTTGGCATACAAGATAAAGTTTTCAAGCCGATACTGATAAGTTCTTGTTTCTCAAGACTGATACGATAACCAATAACTTATTATTTAAATTTAGAGCTAACTGTCGTTTGTTCAGTCTTGGAGCAAAAATACTCAAAGATTTGTCATAACCAAATATGACATCACTATTACAACAAAAATTAAACCCAAATCTGTTTCTTGAATTGTACAGGTTTTTCTTTTTATTTTCAAGAAAATGTTTTTTGAATGGCTTATCAAATGTAAACTTTAGCCATAGTTCAGTGTTTTATAAAAATATATAGTAAATGAATATCAAATGATGTATCCATTCAAATGAGTACAGACATAGACCTAATGTCTGAACACGCAAGCGCGTGAAAACGTGCAACAGCCTTTATTCCCCTCTTGATGTTATTTAACTTTACTAAAACAACTACTCAAGCACATGGGATTTACAATTTTCAAAAATGAAGGCTTCTTTGAGTCCACTAACTCTTGGGTGCGGATTCATAAAATAAGATGCCTTTTATCTCCTTCCAAATGGCCTCTTTCACCTGGTTGTACAAGGTGGCAGTGGCTTTTTGGGAAATCCACAATTTTTTGGGGGGGGGCAATCCATACTATTTGCAGTTTGATTCAAAGTGAAACAATGAACACTGAAAGTATGTTCACAGTGTTATAATTACCTATTATTGTTATTATTATTATTGTTTTTATTTGTGGTGTTGTATTGTAAGATTTTTTTATGAAATCAAAAAATTTTTTTTCTATCTATGCCAGCGGTGTATAGCGACAGACAGAAAAATCAAATGCTTTTCCGTTAAATGTCAAAAGATCAACCTGTGTATCATCCAACCTTAGCCATTTCAACAACAAATATATCAGCTTTGTGTTCAATAAAACAAGCCCAGGTTTCACATTAAGTACATTTGTGACTGAACTGAGACAAAGCCATTCTTTCAATATTTTTGTTTGGTGGTTAATCTGAGTGAGATGTTAGCTGGCGCAACCATGTATGCCACCATCTTAGCTAGGATTCGGGCTACTCTCCACAGCTGCGCCTCCATAATAAATAAGAAAAAGAGTTGCACGTGTCTGTGGGCCTACAGTACAGATGCGAACGGAACAATTTAAAAGTTATCAAAAGCTCTTCCACTGTTAGTGTGTATGTGTGCATATGAGTGCCAACTCCCACAGCGGTGAGCAAGTTGACTGACAGGAAAGAGGACGAAGCAGCAAGACTGAGTGTTGGTGACGTATGGAAACAAACATGAGAGCTGATATATTAATTGCAGCGATAGGTTTATGTGTGTATTTGTATTTGAGCACATGTGATTTCTTACATAGTAGACAATACATTTCCAGTCCCGCTCATTATTTAGACGTGCCTCAATTAAAAGAATAACAAGACTATGCAGATGCATAGTTGGTCGTTGAGTGTGTCGCTCTGCTTATCTACAAATAACACTATTGGCTCATCAAATGCAATGCAGTGCATGGCACTGGGTGATAAGGTTGATACTGGTTCTCTCGTTTGGCAAAAGAAAAAAAATACTGAGTACCCCGGGGTCGACTGTACAGTAAATAAGTTGTTTAAATATACCATATATATTGGTCCACCTGCTGATAGGATCAGTGATGTGTTCTGTTGTTCTCTTTTTTTTTTTTTTTTTTTTTTTTTATTTTTTTTTTTTTTTTTTTTTAACCACTTGTTCTGTTCAGATCATCGTGAAGCTGGAGTTCTTGGACAGCTGTTGCTGTTTGGTACCTGCAAGGTCTCGTAGGTGGTCCAGAGTGGGGATGATAGAGGGCCGTCTCCCCTGCAGGAAGAACAGCACCATGACGGTGAGAGAGAAGTTGGTGATCCAGGCCCCGGGGATGCTGCTGGTCACTCCGTGTGCTCGGGCCCAACATCGCACGGTGAACACCAGGTGCCGCACCCTTGGATCCAGTTGGCCATAAAGGTAAAGAAGCTCTGAGATCTTCATCGCCACCCTGTGGACAACAGGCTGGATGACTACTGTTGTCTGATGATTTGATGCAAAAAAAAAAAAAAGGGGGGGGGGGGTTTTAACAAACACAAAAA